ACCGGACGCCGGAGTTTACCTCCAGTGAGGACCTACGGATAGGAGGGGCTGCACCAGCCAGTCCAGCTGGCCGCGGGCGGGCGGGCGCCAACGTGAGCTTACCTTATCTTATCAAGCCCCAAGCTGCCCCTCCAATCCATGCACGATGCCCCAAATAAGGTACCGGCGCTGATCAGGAGGACAAGGGACGGACGTCGAGCCCGGGGGCGGGCGGCGCGCGAACACCCCACCTTCCATTGGGAGCTAGGCAGGTAGGTTCCTTAGGTAAGTCCGTCGCTCCCAGCCTCCGAGACTTGCTTCTGGCGGTCTATTTCTGTCGGCCTCTTCTTTTGACTTCGTTCTCTCTTTCTTCAATTCCATCTGTACTTTGTTCTCGTGGATTGCTTCGGGTTTATTGCGTTTGGTAGTATTGAACAAGAAAAGCATATCCAACAACGATGTCGCTCCCTTCAAACGTGCACGTCTCCCAGCACCCCTGTCTGCGGGCGAAGCTCTCCCAGCTGCGATCCAAATCGACCGCTGCGAAGGACGTGAAGACGCTCGTCCACGAGATCGGTCTGATCGTAGCGACGGAAGCTCTTGCTGCTTCCACCAAGGCGACAGATGGCCCCAAGGTATGTTCCCTTTCTTTCTGGCGTTGTCCCAGTATCACCGGGTGCAGGGCTGATTACCCCTCCAGGATGCGACACCGCTAGGCTTCGAGTTCACTTCGACCGAAATCTCCCCCTCCCGCCTCTGCCTCGTCCCAATTCTCCGCTCAGGTCTCGGCATGGTCGAAGGTACGTAGTATATTCCTCCTCTACGGCATCCATCACAAGGTAAACTAACCGACCCGCGCGCAGCCGTGCAGACGATCCTCCCAGGCCCCGTCCCCGTCCACCACCTCGGCCTCTACCGCGAGCCCTCCACCCTCGAGCCCGTCGAGTACTACAACAACCTGCCCAACCACATCTCCGCCGACGGCTCCAACCCGGACGTCAGCTCGCTCGCCATCATCCTCGACCCCGTCATCGCCACCGGCGGCACCTGCGCCGCCGCTATCCAGACGCTGCGCGAGTGGGGCGTCCAGCGCATCATCGTCATGTCCGTCATCGGCGCCGCGGAGGGCGTGAAGCGCGCCGCGGGCGAGTGGGCCGACGCCACCGACATCTGGATCGCGGGCGTTGATGAGGAGCTGACGCCTAACGGCATGCTGAAGCCCGGCGTGGGCGACGTGGGTGACCGCTTGTTCTTGACCATCGGGAAGTAAGAGACGGTAGATGAGGGAAGAGTGCGTGCTGGATTGCTTTTGGTGAGTTTCTTGGCACCGGACATGGCATTTTAGAAAGGAATCTTGGGGTGCTGGAGTTGAATATAATGTCATTTTATCCTGGGTATCCGAGTCTTATCATGATTTGAATTGCATGCCTTGAGCCAACCCCCCGTTATATCTGCGTGTACTTCTCTTCATCGACCAAAGTCTTCTCTCTCCAGCAGTCCTCAATCCAGTCGCCAGTGACGATGTGGGGGATCTTCCGCCTTGAGCTGACTTCCTTTCTCAGGTCTTCCGCTGCCTGTCTTCGCTGGTCTCCATCACCCACGACCACGATGTGCGTTGCTTGTTCATCGTCCACGTCAGGTGTCAACCGAGCCCCGCCAAACCGAAGAAAGTTTCTTAACCTTAGGACTTTGATGTCGTCTTCTCGAGCGTCATTCGCGTCGTGCAGGTGCACCAAGCAGCGGTGGAACATTGCCCCCTTCATCTCACCAACGCCGTGGCCCCGCTCCTCCAGCTGCTCCAGGAAGTGCGCCTTATTGAACGGCTCCATATCCGGCTCCTTCTTCGGCACTTCTTTGAACACTTGCCGGAGCTCATCGACACTTATGTCTCGAGCATAACTATCACCGTACATGTCCGTATTTTGGATAGCGGCAGTCTTCAGAGCCTCGGTGGCGTGCAGGATATGCCGCTCTTCGTATGGCAGGAGGTAGTCGTCTTCTTGTGATTGTGAAAGGCAATCCTGCAGCCACCTAGGCCGGATAATATCCACACCGCCCAGCTTCTGTCCCTCCTTCACCAGACTGGCGACCTTGACCACATTCTTGTCAGCAAGCAGGATCATGTCTGACTGTGGTACCGCCCGCTGGGAAATCTGCCCGCCATTCTCCTTGATCAACGTCTCGAGCTGCGCCTTGGTCTTCTTGAACGGCTTCAGCGACTCTGAGAGCACGCAGAACTCGAGTCCTTCAAACACCTTGGTCTTCTCGCCCGCAAACTGCACAGGCGCGTTTTCCGTTCCGGCGATGGTCAACTCCCGCTTGATCCGCTTGGGCGCTCTCCGCTTGCGATTCTCAACGCTCATTGTCTTCTCTTTGGCCTCCGCCTCGACGCGCTTTCGAAGATCCTGGAACTCTTGCACACTAAGCCCTTCGTTCCAGTTCTTGTCAAGTCGCAGCTTGCGGAAGCGCGGGAATCGGAGGGTGAACCCAAGGGCGAATTGGTCTGAACAGCCAATACTCGCTGCTTTCGCCTCGAGGACGAATGAGTCTCTGGGTCGGATCCAGACATCTGGCTTCTCGAACTGGCGGCTATCTCCTGCCAGCTCAATGTACTCCACTGGTGGCTTTCTCGAGTCCCAGTTGTTCCATTTGCCTTCTGTTCGGTGACGGATCTCAGCGTAGTCCTCAGCTTTGAAACCGCCTCCTACTTTGAAGAAGCTGAAACACTTCTCTGGGTTTGCGCCTGCCTGGATGTGGTTCTCGCTGACACGGAGCCCGCAAAGGAAGCTGGACAAAGCACCGCCACGGCGTCCGGAGCCGTAGTAACCGCCAATGACGACGCAGTCCAGCGACTCTCCGAACTCAGACATGTACTCGGGCTTGACCTTTAGCCAGTCGTCGTTGCGGCTGTTGAGACGATACATGGATCTCGGGTTCTTGAGGACCAGTCCTTCAGATGCCTCGGCGACGACCTTCCGGAGGAGTGGCTCAATGGCGTCTGGCGATGTAGCAGTTTCATACTGATGGATCTCAAGTCGGCGATGCACTCCCTTGACGGCCTTCTCCAACGCTCTGTGGCGATCCCGGAGGGTGTACTGCGTCAACGGCTGATCATTCAGAAGGAGGATGTCAAACACTCGGAAGAGAGGGCGAGGACCAGTGGTGTTGTTGATCTCCTGGTTCGCCAGTGCTGCCGTCTTCAACGTTCCGAAAGGCATTATCTTGTCGACCTCCGGGTCCCATGTGATCATTTCGCCGTCCAAGATGAGATTGCGTACGCCTGGTGTGAAGGCTTCGCTCAGGTGACGGCTCAATGCACCTTCTCGAAGGTCCTTGCCATAGAGGTAAGTGTAGTCTTTGGCCTTTCGCGACCAATAGCAGAACCGAAAGCCACCTGGCGAGCTCGAGTCTTCCATCATGTGCATCTGCATGCGCTCACCATCAAGTTTCTCTTCAATCCAGAATTCGGGATCGTCTTCCGTGGGCCGAAGGTAGTCAACCATCTTCTGAAAGGACGATGGCATTTGGAACTGCGCGAGCTGGGGCTGGAAGCACTCCATCAGAGATACACCGGTGTCCTGGGACTCCAATCGAACTGTAGGGTTATGCAACTCCCAGCACACACGCCGCAGGCTCGAGGATACGCTGAAGAGAGCTTCGCCGTCAGGATGCCATAGGTTCAGCAGCGTTCTCTCTGTCGCGCCAACCTTCATCTGCTTGAGAACGATGCGAATGAGCCACATAAGCTCCTCCGCATTCATGCGCTCGTAGAAGGTTTCAAAGACCTCGAGATTCTCCAATTCTCCTGAAGACGCGGCCAGCTTGTCCAGCAGCTCGTTAACCTCGGCAATCGCCATGTCGCCGACCTCGGTGCGCATGGGGCGCTTCGACAGGACCTCGAAACATCTTCCTGCAAAGTCTCCTGCGAGACGAGATTGTGTGGTATGGCCAGGAAGCTTCCAGTGTAGCAGATTGTAGCCGTCTTCGGAGTTCTTGTCAATTTTCATCAGCTTGACGAGAAGCTTACCGATGGCGTTCTCCTTGAGACCGTAGACTCCGCGATCGCGATCCTTGTCGGGAAGAATCAGCCGGAAGGCGGGATAGACGTCGTTTCCGACTTCATTTCTCCATCTAGAGATGAAGCGCTCAATAATGTGGCGGCGTTGCTCCTGCGGCGAGAGCTTGGTCGCCTGCGGACCTCTCTTGGAGCGGGGAGGACCTCTTCCAGGAGGCTGTTTTTTGTTCTCATTCAAAGGATTGAACAAACTCTGGAAGAGCTCTGAGAAGCGCATGGTTTGAGAATGATTGCGCGGGCGGTTGGGGTACCTGAGATGGTGTGAGCGGATCACAGAAAAGTGCTTGGGAGATTGCCTACTTCTCATCGAGTTCTGCCAATGTCATGCCGCCGACCGCGTACTGCTTTTCCTCTTCGTCGATCGCCATCGCATCTGGCGAGCGTTGCCGTCTGCGTTGGCTCATGGTGGCTGATGCGAGGTGCTGCACGGCGTTGAAGTCGCAACGGTAAAATTGACTTTGCTATAGGGCTGGACTTGACCCCGTTGGCTTCTGCGCAAATGTGGATGAATGAAAGAAAAACGCCACAAGTAACTCTGAATCATCCGGGTCGTGTCACGACTTTAAAGGTCGTCGTCGCATGTCGTTGGCTTGAGTTCACGGAGGCCGGGTGCCTGTAGCTCACAGTGGATTGGTTGCCTCGGGTGATGCTGCCTGGAGTGGTTGCAGCAAAAAGGTGCAGGTGGGGCCTCGCTACCAAGATGGCGCTAAGAGGCTTAAGTGCATGCAGGGACATCCAACGGCTTTTATGCATCAAACCCAAACTTTCAAACTGCACAAACAGTATCTGGAGTGAAGTCGGGAACCTGGCGGCGCCCTTCTTAATTAACTAATCCTACAATCATGATCTACATTATCATTTCATGTCTCGTTTGCAATCCAGAAACACTTTCGTCGTGTGATGACCCAACCCCGGGCGGGTTAGGAATGGACAATCGCGAAATCGCTCAGTTGCGACCGGTGTGCTGAGAAGACGTCTCGCTGACGGCCTTCTCGGCATCCCAGCGCTGCTGCATGGGCTCGGTGACGGTCTTCTTGGCAGACTTGCGGCGCCACAGGAAGAAAGCGACGAGACCGAGCATGGAGACACCAGCGATGGAACCAACGACGGCGCCGGCGATGGCACCGCGGGAAAGACCGGAGGACTTGTTGTCGGCGGCGGTGAAGTCGGCGGCGGTGTGGGGAGTGTTGCCGCCGGAGTCGGTGGTGGTGACGTTGACGCTGGGGTCCGACTCGACCTCGGGGTCGGAGACGGTGGCGTTGAAGCAGGGGATGGACATGGTGAAGACGTCGACGAAGGTGACGTCGGCGCAGGCGTAGAAGGTCTCGCGCTTGGACTCGTCCTGGTCGAAGTTGGAGACGTAGAGCATGCGGTAGGTGGCGTTGGAACCGGCGGCGACGCCCGAAGGGGCGGAGGGGACGGTGACGCAGGTGTGGCCGAGGTCGAGGCTGCCGACTTCGCTGGGGCCGAGGAAGGTCTCGAAGTCGGAGACGGACTTTGGATCTGTGAGAGTGTCAGTTCAGGTGCTCTGCCGATTACAAGATGCTTGGATGGGATGGTCTACTAACCGTTCTCGTAGGAGACACTCAGGTGGACGGCACGAGTCTGGTCCTGGGTGACAAGAGCGAGCTTGCCGTTGACTGTAACGGGGTCAGCATGATATGCCTGTGATGGGTTGTGGTCACCTCCGAGCTGTTCTTGACAGCAGCCAGAGGGCCTCAGTGTTGGTTTAACTTACCCAGAGGGAACTCGGTGCGGGTGCCAACACCGGCGGTGGATCCGCAGGGCGCCGTGTTGTCGGCATCGGCGTTCCACTCACGGTCAGGGGGCCAGAGGAAAGCAGCCGGCCCCATGTTATCAGCGCCCATGACGTTGCCCAGCAGCATGCTGCCGAACAGAGCGACCGACTTGGAAGAAACCATTTTGACGGTATGAATCTTGGAGGGAGGTTGGACTTGACAAGAGTCTGAGAAGGGGAGAGCAGGTCTCAGGCAATGGGAAGCGATGAGCAAGATTCAAGGCTCGAAGGATCACAAGATTGAAGTTGTGATGGGGGGAGTTGACTTGGAGAGCAGAAGAGTCCGAGACAGACATGGAAGGGATATGCGGGCGTCCATATATGCTTCTCCCGCGCGCGTGGTCTGGCTGCAACCTGGGCGCCGAGCGTCAGCCAACCGCTTCCCATGCCGAGAAAACAACACACAATTGCAGTCTGCAGCAGAAGGCAAAGGGCGCATCCGCCGGCGGGTTAACCCGCCAAGGTTCAGTTGGGCCGACAAAACCGGCGCCAACCCCTGGCACCGATCACGACCCTGTCCCGGTCTCTCTCCAATGTTTGCAGGTGCTGCTACGGTCCCCACCGTAGTGTGGTTCCCCACCCGAGAGAGTTATCTGATGAAATCGCCCTGGCTGGGGTTTCACTGCGCTGTTTGGTCTTGTCCGCACATTGGCGCATACAAGGGCCTGATGGGGTTGGACGGCGCTCCATCAGGAGCGGAATCGCATCATATCTGATCATCAGATAAGATGGATCCCCAGACGGCCATTGGCTGGAGACATCACCTCTGCATCACTAGCGCATTCTCGGCGCGGTGGCCGGGGGTCCCCGTTTTTTCCTTCTCTTCACACACGCGCTGCAACGGCGAGCTGCTCTTCTCGGGTCGAGTCCCCCGATCTCGTATTTGCCCCGGCCCTGACGGAATTTTTGTTTCTCTGACTCTTGGGTGAGGTTTCGCTGGGTTCTAATAGGCAACGGCCGCCGCACGAGGTGCCAGTCAATCTAGTTTGAGTTGGCTTGGCGATCATCCGTTTCGAGAAGCTGTCAAGCGCAACGGCGAATCAGCGTTACAGCCGCGAACTCGAACTCGGTGTCCGAGGCCACTTCTCCGCGAACGTCGGCGATAGTCCGGCAACACAAAAGGTCTCGCGATGCTCCATTCCACCAGGGCCGTTTGCGACACCGGAAATTGAGCCGCCATCGCCCGCCATCCCCGTACTCCTTCGATGGATGGCCATGAGTCAAAAAGGCGCGCTTGGATCGGGCTCGGTCCAGGCTTTCCGGGTCTCCAGTTGCCTGGGTGGAGGGCGAAAATCCAAGCTCTCGATCTTGTGGAGAGCGGCAGGCACGCTTCGCTTCTCTCGGTCCAGGTGGGATGTTCAGCATGTGAACGAACGAGGGTTTTCGGAGTGGCGCTTGTGGTGGTCGGAGGTATTCCGACATTGACCGTGTCGGCTCAGGCTCTGAGTTGAGGTCCAGAAAGGCGGCACAGCTTTTCTGAGAAGTCACTTCCGGGTCAACTAGGCCGTCGTTCGTCGGCCAGATCGTGTTGGTTCATTGACGTTCAGCTCTTAGTCAAGGCTCTTCATGCCCTCGTGACGGCTCCAAAATTCCCACCCAAGTCTACCACAGGTTTCCGCCATCATAACCGTCACGGCGGCGGCGCTAAAAGAGCCAGCACCGGCACGCCCAACAAAGACCTTGTTCGTGGGTCTTGATGCCCTCAGCTCTGTTCTTTGGCCTACGGACACTTGCTCGGAAAAGACACCTTCTTTGTCGGTGCCCAGTGTATGTCGCACTTGACTGGTGGACTTCGCTTCCTTTCAAGGAAATCCCATCCTGCTGCAGGCACGGCTCTCTCGGCAGCCCGCGGCCTCATGCCTGACCTTCGGGATCCCGGCTCCCACTGGACCTTCTTAAACTCTTGGTCTGTGCTACAACTTGTTTACATCCTTGCTAAGCTTACTTGATGCTTCATCGCAGAATCAGAGTCACGAAACACGAGCTGCTGCCACCCACTAGTCGGACTGTTCACGTCTCGGCTTCAGTTTACTTGAGAGTCGCGATGGTAGGTAAGGCATAATACATGTCTGAGATAAAATGAGTTGACAAGCGGGAGACAAGTCTACTATCGTTCGAGTTTGGAATGGGCTTGTGCGTTCTGTGAGTAGAGCCAACACATCTCGGGCTCGTGGCATTGACCGTCCTGTGTTGTCCCCCGTCCCGGCGCACTCTGCGGTTGACAACGGACTTCTCTCACAGGGATGTCTCGGCGCAGGAACTTTTGCATCTTGGTCTGCTGTTCCCGGGTCAGGGGTGGAGGGGGTGAAGGCGCTCTCGTGATTCGAGGCAGGGATGTCCTGGACCACACTTAAAGACGCCAGAACTTGGCGTTGCCACAACTCCAGCTGAGATTGATAAGGCATCCATAATCGGCCTGCCAGTTGCTGGTTTAAGTGCTCATGCGGGTGACAATCACGTACAAGTGTAACGTCTCACCCTCTGCCTCGAGGTCGCCTTGGTGCTAGGGCGCGGGTTGTTCTATGCAACTCTGCCCGAGCTGGAGTGTGACTGTGCAAGTGTGTCCTCAAACGAATTGGCAAGGTTTGTATAAAGACTCTGAAGTAACGCCTGAGTAGAAATCTATCATGTAATGCAACTAAGTTGACAAATCTGACGGAATGGCGGTAGCGGAGAGGTGGGGGAAATCCGAGAAGTCCAGTCGGGTCTAGAATCACAATCATCCTGCTTGATGACAGCCGCCACAGCCGCTTGTCCACGCAGAACGAACCCATCTGAGAATGCATGAAATATATTGGCAATACGTACTTGCTTATGGCAACAGCGGATAGAGGAGTTGATTGCTCAGTTGGTTAGGTCTGGCCAATGTGCTTGCGCCCTGAAGTCCTTGGGACTCTGTCCGCTGGGGTTTAATATGGTTATGGGTTCAACCCTGCCTTTTGCTATTTAGCTAACTTTTTTCTTTTTCTTTTTTTGAAACAATGGAGTAAGTTAGACGAAAGAAAACAGCTCTCTGGGACGTCATTTTTTTTAGTTAATGGTTTTATTTCCTTGAAGAAAGAAAAATAGTTGATGTGACTGTTTAAGGAAAACAAGTTGATGCTTCCTTCCGGAGCTTTAAAAATGCGAAAACGTCGTCACCTCCCCCGCGCCTGCTTTCCCATTGCCAAGAATCACGATTTGATCCGTTGTAACTTGTAACAGAGCCCGTCCATTAGATCTAGAGACATTGTCGCAGCAATGTGAGGATTACTATTTCATCGTATCACAACTCCAATTTATCAAGTGACCTCCCTTCTGTTCTCGTAGAGGTTTCCATCCTACATTCACCAAATCTAGGCGACGCACCTACAGGGTCGGAGCTACGGGGAGAAGACCGCGCGCCTCTCAGGAATAGCTCATCTAGCTCGTTCCCAATCTCTTCATGGCTGATTTTCGTGTTGAGCCAGTGCTGATTCGTTACGTTCTCGTCAAAAACCCACTCATTGCAGCCATTGCAACCTGCCTCCCCCTCCAGCTTGATGGTGTTGTAACCGTACGCATTTCCATATCTGAAGTACTTATCCAGGCCCTTGATAGCATACAGCATTGCTACCGGGTCAAACGACCATCTCGGTTGATAATAAGTATACAAGATGTACGCCGCCCTCACCGGGTCCGTCTTCGGGCCATCCACCATCAGCGGGCCGCCTGAACGGATCGAGCTCCCGAGGTCGAATCCCACGTAGACGATGGGACTCTTCCAGTTGTGTATGACGTGGGCAGTCTCGGGCGGGTCATCGTACCAGAAGTTGAACTCGTACCCGCTTGGGTAGTCGCCGCCCATAACCACAAGCTCCTTCACCTTTGCCGCTACGAGCTCAGGCCCGGTGAGTTCGGAGTAGGAATCGGCCGTTGAGTTGAGAAGCGCTGAGAGATTGTGGAGGAAGCCGATCGACGCGATGGTGACAGAGTCGTCTTCGGCTTCGGCGAGGAGTATGCGGTAGAGTTTGATGGGGTCCCAGGCTTCGTCTGCATCCGACATGCTTTTGGTCCAGTGAGTGGCGATTTTGCTGGCGAACTCGCCGAGCAGTTTTGTCCAGCTGTCAAAGAATGGAATGTTGTTTAGAGGACGGCGAGCGCCGATGGGTACTTCAGAGTGGCCGTAGTGGTTCAATATGGCGGAGGCAGCCAGGACTGAGTACGACGACTGAGAGTTGATGTTGACTCCGAGGAGGTTCACCTCTTGCGAGGTTGCCGCGAGCAACAGTGCACCGGCATCACTTGAAGAGTGTCAGATAATTCTGTAATATTAAGACAGAAAGTACTCAATAGTTGAGAAAGGAGTCTTACTCGCAATCACTGAATAAGTCGGTGTCCACGATCAAATTCTTGCGGGCTGACGTCACAATACAAAATAAAGAGAGGATCAAGATGAACGGCCTCTGGCTGAGCATTCTCCAAAACCTGGCTGTGATTGAATGACTGGGAACAAATCACTTCGTTTTCTGTAGAGCCCTCACCTTGCCGTCCGATGTCTGCGTGGTTGAGATGACGATGGCGATGGCGACGAGGGGAGGGTGAAAAGAGGGACGATTTTGGAGGCCGTCTGCCACCGGCTGGCATCAGTCGCGACCAAAAGGAAGCACCACCCAGCTCCGATCCGCTTGGTGGGTCTCGCTTGGGGCGGGAACCTGTGCGCTTCCTTGTGCCTTAAACAGCCGGGCCGGCAAACGCTGTCTTCGACACATCAACTGTCAGGAACAAACTTTCGAACAGTGCCCATCCTCGATCGGAGGCGCTACCTTTTAGGCGTGTGGGAGTTTCTGTATCAGCATTTATTTTCTTCAGCGAGTAAAACTCGATGTTGTCGCAAAGACTCCACAAGGAGCGGAAGATTACACCACCAAAAACATCTACCCAACGATGACGTCCATCCCTCGAGAAACATCATCACCCTGGTGATTCACAACCCCAAACTGTGACCAACACATGCGTCAAATCGGATGAGACAGAGCGAATGTCGATGGGGTATGGGAAGATCTCCCCACACGGTTGATCGCTAGGGCCCCTCTCCCACCCCTCCCTCCCGCGTCGGGGCAGAAACAGAGTGCAGATCGGCATGCGTTCCGACCGCCTCAATGCCGGCATGGCCAATCAACAGCCGGAAGAGTCGCAGACCGGATGGATTGCGCCATTGAAATGGCGTACGACGTGAAGACCTGGGGAGCCCGCGGCGGTACGCGAAGTTTGGTCATCGGCCGGTCGTACTTCATGACCCGCGTTCCCGGCTTGCTTACCTTGTGCATTCCAAACACACGTTCTCGATTGCTTTCTGGAAGAAAACGTTACTGTGGCGCTGCTTCGGTCTTGGGAATTGAATTGAGCTATTGGGAACGCACGCGAGACGGACGATCTAGATGGGCACCGAACCAGATAAGGCGCGGAAGGAGGAGTCGCCTCCGCCACATGGGCGCGCGACCATCCTCGAAGTCCATGGCATTGATGACGCCGCCATCATCCCCAAGGGCGCTCTCGACCCTGTCTACGAGGCGAAAGCTCGAGTTCTCAATCGTGCGGTACGTGTGACACCTCAGCGCGAAGCGCGACTTGGCTACCTTGGAGAGGATTGCCACTGACTGGTGATTTGCAGATCCAAGATATTGGCATGGGATGGTATCAGTGGCAGCTATTCGTCGTCGTCGGCTTTGGTTGGGCAAGTGACAATCTATGGCCCATCGTCACCTCGCTCATATTCACTCCCATCGCAAACGAGTTCAAGCCGACCCGTCCCCCGCTTCTGAGTCTCTCTCAAAACATAGGTCTGCTGGCTGGAGCCATGTTCTGGGGGTTCGGCTGCGATATCTTCGGTCGCAAGATAGCCTTCAATCTCACCTTAGGCCTGACTGCAGTTTGGGGAATGATCGCCGCGGGGGCTCCCAACTTCGCAGGCATCGGCATCTTTGCGGCTTTCTGGTCTTTTGGGGTGGGAGGCAACCTCCCTGTCGATTCCGCCATCTTCCTAGAGTTCTTGCCAGGCACTCATCAGTACCTGCTGACGGTTTTATCCATTGATTGGGCTATTGCTCAGGTTATCGCGACGTTGATTGCATGGCCTCTTCTGGGGAATCTCACATGCCAACAGGGCCAGACCTGCACCAAATCGAACAATATGGGCTGGCGATACTTCATCGTCACCATTGGCGGCTTGACCCTTGTCATGTTTCTCGTCCGTTTTGCTCTCTTTACGATCTACGAATCACCAAAATATCTTATGGGAAAGGGTCGCGACGAAGATGCCGTCCGAATAGTCCATGAAGTCGCGAGGCGAAACGGCAAGATGACATCTCTATCGGTGGAGGATCTGAAGGCTTGCGAGCCAGAGGGATACGTCGCTCGAACTGATGCTACCGCCGCGGTGAAACGAAACCTCGAAAAGTTGGATCTCAGCCACGTACGCGTCCTCTTCTCGACACCGCGACTTGCACTGAGCACAGGTTTGATCATGGCTGTATGGGCTCTGATCGGACTTGGGTATCCTCTGTACAATGCATTTATTCCCTACATCCAAGCAACCCGCGGCGCCGAAATCGGCGATGGAAGCACGTATGTGACATATCGCAACAGCTTGATCATCGCGGTCGTTGGTGTACCAGGCGCATTATTGGGTGGTTGGCTAGTTGAGCTACCTCGACTGGGGCGGAAAGGCACCTTGTCCCTCAGTACGGTTTTAACAGGAGTCTTTCTCTACTGTTCAACGACTGCGCTGACAAGCAACGCGCTTCTGGGTTGGAACTGCGCCTTCAACTTCTCTAGCAACGTCATGTATGCCGTCCTCTATGGGTTCACGCCCGAGCTGTTCCCGACACCGCAGCGCGGAACTGGCAACGCGTTGACGGCCACTTGCAACCGAATCTTCGGTATCATGGCAGTAAGTAGATGAGATTGGCCTATGGTGCGATCGTGATGCTGATGACAACAGCCCATTGTCGCCATGTTCGCCAACCTCAAGACCTCCGCTCCAGTCTACACCAGTGGTGCCCTGTTTATCGCAGCCGGACTTTTGGTGCTCTTCATGCCCTTCGAGTCCAGAGGCAAGGCCGCTTTGTGATTGAAGCGGGTTGCGATAGTTGTTTTCTGATCATACTGGGACATCATAGAGACCGGTAGAAATGCGACTTTCGAGCTGCGCTTTGCAGGCTGAGTGGTACAATGCGCTGCGGAGCAAACAGCTTACCCGGATATCTGGCTCAACAAGCAAACGCGTCCGGTCGTCGGCCGCAGCGATATAGCAGCGGGTGAAGTTGTTGACGACCGGCCCGGACTGTGGTCACTCTCCGCGGGCATGGCCAGATGCATATCTGCTGACCCATCCCCAACCAGCACAGCCGGACTCTTGGCGAGCGCGGTCTGGAGGTCAAGTCCCGACCATCGGCACTGCAGTATCGGAGCGTGGAGCAATTGAGATTCAATGAAGACGTCTCATACGTCAATGGCAAATGAATTATTTCGCTACGGGGCCCGAGGTCTTGGCACCATGGGTCGCTGTTATCTTGCCCACGGGGCTCCCCCGATTTCCCCTCACACCTGCCACCGAGCTGCCTCATCCAGTTTCGTTGCCAATGTTCACGCTCGCCGCGATGAATCTCCACCTCGCACCTTGCTGACCATTGACGCTCCTGTTATCGGGCGTTATGTTCACATATCTCAAATGACCAATTGAAAAGCCTCCGAATGATCTCAGCCAAGCCCCGGTCATGCCAGGAACAGCCTTTTGCCATGCGTCGGTGAGCCATTTTGCGCCGCCGGCAACGCCGCGATGTGACGGCGGGGGATGTATAAAGTTGCGTAAAAGCCATTGCCAGCCGCCGCGGATTCGGACCGTCAACTTTCATTAGCACGTAAGCTACTGGAACTTCAGACGCCGTGCGAAATTGACAGCATGTTGCCGACGTCTCGCCTTGGCCTCATTGGCCTCTCACTGCTCGCCTCAGCGGAGGCCGCCAAGTACGGATACAACCACGTTACCGTCCGCCAAGACAGCGATGCCATCGCAGCCAACTTCCAAGCCATCGAGGGTGTAGACTTGCTGTCGCCCGCGTTTCTGAGCCCGGAGACGATCCCAACCGGCTTCGCTGAAGGCACGCAGGGACCTACTGCGGATGATGTTCTTGGTAAGATAACTAGACGATGCCATCGTAATCGTGCAAAGCTGACCACCTCAAAGACACCTTTGTTCAAGATCTCGCCGACAAGAACAGCTGGTTGACCTACAACAAAGCGAACTTCACCTCGGAGGAGGGCCGCCCGTTCCCCTACCTCCACCTCACCTCAGGATCCGCCAAGTCTCGAAGGGCAGCCAACTCGACCGGCAAGGTGCGCGTCTGGCTTCAGGGCGCCGTCCACGGCAACGAGCCTGCCGGCGATCAATCTATGCTGGCCCTCTTGGGCGCACTTGACGCGAACCAGACCTGGACGGCCTCGCTCCTCGAGAAGCTTGACATCGTCATTCTGCCTCGCTACAACCCCGACGGCGTCTTCTACTTCCAGCGCACCCTGGCCACCAACTACGACCCGAACCGCGACCATGTGAAGCTCGCCCGCAAGCAGACGCGCGACATCAAGTCCCTCTTCAACGAGTTCAACCCCCACGTGGCCGTTGACATGCACGAGTACAGCGCCACCGCCCGCTACGGCAGCTACTACCACGCCGCCGACGGCCTCTTCTCCGCCGCGAAGAACCTCAACATCCACCCCGACATTCGCTCTCTGTCCGAGGAGCTGTTTGCCAAGAACATCGGTTCCGCAATGGAGTCTCGCGGCCTGCGCTGGGAGCCCTACGTGACGGGATCCACCAGCACCAACCCCGAGTTCAAGCCCACCTTCGCCGAGGCCGGTTCCGACGCCAAGATCGGCCGCAACGCCATGGGCCTCACTCAGTGCGTGACTTTCCTGATCGAGATGCGCGGCATTTACCTCGCTGATCAGGAATTCCAACGCCGCACCGTCGCGGGTCTCACCATGGCCTCGAGCGTGCTGCAGACTGCTGCCGACAACGCGGACAAGGTGTACACCACCATCGAGTCCTCCATCGCCGACTTCAAGACTAACGACGCCGAGATCATCGTCACCGACTCCTCGCCCACTGTCCAGCGCACCTTTACCATGGTGAACATCAACAACGGCTCCGTCGTGCAGGTCCCCATCAACTTTGGCTCAACGACCCCCGTGACTGCCAACATCACCCGCGCGCGTCCCGAAGCCTACCTCATCCCCGCATCATGGGCCGACCTCGCCGAGCGCCTGTGCGTCGGCGGACTTGAGGTTGAGACCCTCGGCGAGCCGTACAAGGGCACCGTCGAGGCTTACACCATCACCTCTGCGGAGTTCGAGACTGGATACTACGAGGGCGTCGTCCGCGCCACCGTCACCACTGAGCCTCTCACAAGAGAAGTTAATCTGCCTGCCGGTAGCTTCCTCGTCAGCACGAAGCAGAAAAACGCCGCGCTGGCGTTCGTTGCACTCGAGCCCGAGAACATTGACTCCTACGCAAGCTTCAACATCGTGCCCGTCGAGGAGGGTGACGAGTACCCCATCTACAGGGTCCTCTGAAGAGACTTAATCTGGAAACTAATGTAATTAGATATTGACTAATAACATCAACGATGTTAAGACCATCTCATCGTACATCATGACAGGCTCACCCATGCCCCGATCTAGACAAGCATCTGCCTCCACTCAATCTCCCCAACATCCTCCTTGCCCGTCATGAACCGGATCCCGTTCCTCAGAATCGTCGCGAGAACTTCCATCTCCTCCTCGTCCCGCGGTCCGTACACCATGATGTACGAGTCCGCCATGTGGAACCGGTTCGCGAAGAACGAGGTGCGCGGGACGGAGAGGCGGTGGCGCTCGGCCCAGCCCTTTTCGATGGCGAGCTTCGCGTCTGCCGGGGAGAGATACATGTGGATCGACAGGTCGCCGTGGTGGTGGCCTATCTCTCCACGGGCGGTACGCGCTGCTTCCGGGGCGGATTTGGCAAGGACTTGGGGCGCGACGAAGAGGGCCGGGTTGAGCCGTTCGTAGAGCGACTTTTTCGTTTCAAGGAGGGACGGGTTCTGGGTTGCTGCGTTTGTAAACAGATTTTGGATGAACTGCGTCGTTGTTAGCTTCACAGCAAGGATATGGGTGATGAGCGCGTGTTACCTCTCTCATGTTCTCTGGCGCATGTTGGCTCAGCTGCCTATGCGGCACGATCCCTCCCAACGCCGCCCTCTCGCCCTTCCTTCTGGGCAGGTCCTTCATGTCCTGGTGATATCCTTCGCTGGGGTAGTCGCCCGTCCATGTCGCGGAGCTCTTCGAGAGCGCAAAGGGGCGGATGCCGATGGTGACCATGAGCCAGCCGGCGAAGTTGTGCGGCACGCCGCCCGGGCCGAGGGCGATGTAGGCGCGGTAGTCGCGGACGGCCCAGATCAGGAGGGAGGTGGTGAGGGCGGCGGTGACGGATGTGAGGGCCGGCCGGCGGGAGAGGGTTGTTGTGAGATTTGTGAGGGTTTGGGATGACATTGTGATGGTAAAAGTGCGAGGGCAAGATCTTGAATGACGATGATTGAGCTGGGAATGGCGGCCGTTTGTGGAGTTGACGGAGAGATGAGCGGTTTGATATGAGGACGAGATCACAAGTTGATGTTGAAGGGGTTCGGAGGCGGCGCTTTGGGGGAGATGAGATTGGAGGCGGTGGCTGACGTAGCACGATTCGCATTCGCGACTTGGTGAAGCGCGGGCGCGAGGGATGTCCGGGAATTGCGGGGTTAGTCAGCCCCGCTCAGATCGGACGAGGCCGTGCTTTAGGGGCCGGTGCGTTGTGGGACTTTTCCGGCGTCGGAGACCGGTAACTCGGCCGAGAAGGATGGAGATGTTGTTCACTTTTGCGTGTATGAATTCCACTGGCTTACCCTGCTCATCATATTCTCAATGTGAGGTTGGATGACTTCTGGCAGATCTGAGAACGATTCCATGTGTGGTCGTAAATTTGCCCTTGTTGGTGTTCATAGGTTAGCCAAGGGTAATCACTAATAACGTTCAAGTACTATTGCTTGATAAGGTAGATCATGAGCTGGTGGGTATATACTGCTTTGACAAATACTTCGGGGTCGTATCGTGTAGCTAAGTCTAGCGTCCGGTGATATCTGCTCGAGGTCGGCGAAGGAGATAGATAGTGGAGTTGTAGCAGTTCTGCCACGTGCGCCTGGTAAACTTAAGGTTTTGAGACGTGTTGAAAGCGCGGACGTCGTGGACGTGTTGCGTGCTTACTATCCAGCTGGAGGTAGCTATCCAATGGAGTTTTAAGCTCGTCGTTGCCTAGCGCCCGAAAGAGAGGAAAGAGTAGCTTTTATCCTAAATACGGGTTTCAGTTTCCTGGTGGTACAGGTGCTTGTCTTCGAATGTTGGGGATACTTACTGTTTCGAGGCAGAGTCTTTCTCGTAGAAGTTGCCTGCTAGAGGGATGTTGGCGAGGCAGCAGCCGGCTTTTATGCCTTCTGGGAAGGTTCCCAATGACCTTGGTGGAAGGTTCAGGGCATCAAAGGAGTCATCGCCGTTATGTGTGTTCGGGTATGGACTGTAAGCGCTGGAGGTCTATTGTTAGCGACCGCACTAAGTTCTTCGTCCCATCCCAAAAGTCAACCTTAAGTTGCATCAAATTCCACGTAACAGTGCCAAATAACGGAGAATGTGCCGTCTGAAGAAGCGTTCCGGTGGAGTCGGGGTCGAAGTTTTCCACGAACTAGACAAACCGCACAAATTGCTTGCAGTGTCCATCTGCGTCCAGTTGAGATAGTTTGGAAGTTTGGTTTCATTCCCTCTCAAGGCTTTATGAATGCCTCTGGCATGACACTTTGCAATGTGATGCATGCACTTGCGAATCGCTCACGGAGATCAAGGTTCCGAGAGCCCTGAGCGACAACCCTTATGGGCTTTACCTCAATGGTAATATGGACGCAACCGGACGTTTGAATGACCTTTACGTCTTTTGGAGCCCAGCACACTGACCCTATACAACTAGCCTTGGCGGACGAAATCGCCAAAACCTAACCATTTACCACCATAGTACTCGGCGACGTGTTCTTTCTGCAGTCCCCATTTGCCTGACCCATACTGAACTGCTTAGTTCGGTACTGACTAGCTATCATGGGCTGTCTCAATTTGATCGGACGCGTGAAATGTCGGGGTGGGGAACAACGAGTTCGCACCCGAGACAAAGCGAAGTATTCAAATATTTTCAGCCTTCCTCGCGACGTCTTATTCCTCATCACGGATCAACTCGAACTACAGGATCTTTTCATTCTGTCGCAATCAATCCCGTCTTGCGATACCTCGCTCATAGACATTGGGCAACCGAAGTCTCCATGCTCCCGAAACCTCAACAGCTTGAATTCTGGACGGGAGTGGCATGGTCCTTGCCGAACCATTGGGTATGCGAGGTCTGTTGCTGCCTCCACCGTCTTCCTGAGTCACTGGATTTACCTTACAAAAGACTACTGCCAGGCTGTCGTCATGAACAAGGGCGCGGGCTCGGACTTGTGTACGATATTCATCACTCACACATCCAGATTGCCTTGAAGCATCAGATGAGAGGGCCGCCCTATGGTAAGCGCTTCGTGGAAATCATGGTGCCTTACAGTTGGTCGAATTCGTGGGGAAGCAGTCAACGAACGGTCACGAACCTACGAAACGGCCCCGAGAATTGTTGACGGAAGATTTCTTCTGTACATGGAGTGGAAATTCGCGAGCTGTGACTTCCAGTCAACATTCTCTGTCTACGGGTTGGCTGCGAACAAACTCTGTCCTCACACAGGTGCACTGTCAATCTACCAGAATGACATCCGTCCTAGCATGGATGTTCGCAGCTACTGGTCGCGCGCAATATCCAATGAGGTTGCTAACTCTGAGCAAAGTGCTACCGCAGCATCTTCTAATTCAGCAGCAACTTTCTCCGGCTCGTTTAGCCGTTGCCCTACTGACTACTTCGTCACGGTGGACGATGATGATGACAAATTACGGCTTCAACTTTCGCAAGACTTTGGGTCGTATGCGTCTCCTGAAAACCTAGATTGGAGGGTGCACGTACGTACCGACAGAAATAATGAAGCGGGAGGTCCCTCGTTGTATCACGTCCCGGGTTCAGTCCGCGAAGCATATGAAAGATTCGATGCTACGGACACGAAATGCTGACAAGCGAGTAACTTCACCATCACTACTACGCGCTTTAGATAGACTACATATACCAATCTTACGGATATTCACTGTTCAGATATCAATCTCGAGCGGACTGCGTGTTGCTGCGTTGTAAGCTTGGTTTTGCTACCACATCTGAGCATCGCCTCAAAGGATGAGAGAATATCCTAGTCGAGACCATAGTTCGTCGGCCCCATCCCTCGTTTTGTCATCATCTGTGCACTGAGCGACCAGGAACTGCTGCCTGGCATACCCCAGGGACTAATGTGTTGATGTCTGAGGCAAACCTACGATGTGGGTGGAAGTTACGGACCTTCTCGAAACGGCTTGGGCGCAAGTGCATAGTCGAGCCATAACGGCAGGGGCAGTAATGTGAGTTTTACAAAAGGCCAGCAATACTTTCAGCCTAAAACAAGGGATGCAAGGTCAAAGTCAGTGATAGCCGCGACCTAGACGCTGAAAAATGACATAGTTAGTTAGTTGATCAAATATACATCAGACATTTGCATTTCACTAGCCAACTTTGGAGTTGCCTTTACAGCAGGGCGGGCGTTTAGGGAAAGGTTTGCAACGCATCTCAGAGTTGTGATTGGATGGCTCGCTTTGAGCTCGTGTCATGGCTGTATAGTTGCAGAAAAAGACGGTCTGGGTTCACATTGGTTCCCTCGCTTTGATATGGGGCTTTCTAGCCTGCATAGCTGTGGATAAGATGGGTTCATCTTTTCCATCCTAGCTCACTGCAGTTGAACCAATTTCACTAAGATCAAGGGCCTTGACTTCAGTCCTCGGAACTACAAATACGAGGCTCCTTCTCCTCGAAGAGCATCGATTCCTGTCATCAAGACTCCAGACAGCTTCCCCAATCTTGCTTCCAAGTCTCAAAACCCAAGATGCATTTCTCCACTGTTGGCGCAGTCATTCTGGCCACCCTGTGCGCCAGTTCTCAGGCATGGGAAGGTAAGACAACCCTCTCCCTCCCCTCGGCCTTTCTTCCCGTTTTCGCGTTCTGCCTGCTAGTACTCTCTTGCTGACCCAAAGCTTCCAATTGCATCAGTCGTTGCATACGACAACGTCTACGGCTGCAATGCCAACGGCAATACGAGGTACCGCTCTATCACGGGCGCCTCCAACCTCAACGGATGCCAGACGTTCGACAGTGACATGCCCGGCACAGGCTGCCGCGAGTACCAGAACGGCGGCGCCACCAACGGCGGATGCGTCTCGGGGTCGCTGCTTCCGATGTCCGTGATCTTGCGCGCCGGAAGGTGCATCATCTGGGACCAGCCTGGGTGCCAGGGTAGGTTTATCGACACTAACGGCGCGGTCAATGGATGCAGGGACTTCAGGGCTTATGAATGGGGCAAAATCCGCTCTTT